GAGTGTCACTTTACTTTGAATATCCCATACATCTGTTGCACAGAGCTTTTTTTAGGTGATATCTTTGGAGAATGGTCACCTTTGCCAACCTCAGCTTACCTCCCTATCTGCATCTTTACCATCTCTTATCTATCAGGATCAGACCTCTCTCATTTTCTCATCCAGGCTAAAACTGAAATTTGTTCATTGAATCTAAAGACCTATTAGAAATTTTCCCATATAAAGGCCAGTTTTCCACGGAAGCAGTATTTTATCCTCCTAGGGCAACCTGCACAAAACAGTCAGCTTTGAAATAAAAGCATTTTCTTTCATTCAATCAATTATTCAGGCTTTTGGGGAACATCCTTGGAATTTCCAGTCTGTAGCCAATGGCGAGTCTTCAATAAAATTCTGTTCTTTTACAACTTAGGTAAACAAAACCAAGAGTTCACCTGGGTTTCTGAAGCCTTTCTTCCTCCTATCTCCTTTCCATGTTCTTCCTTTCTTCCTTTTTCTTCCTTCCTCTTTTGACCCTCAGCTTCCTATATCAAGATATTGTCTGATCTGTGAGTCCCTTTCTAAACAGTGTGCCTGTGCATTGCCCTTATTGAGGACAATTTGGAAAGTGAAGAAAGACCTCTTTTCTGTCCATCCCAGACAGACTCTTTCAGCAGTCTGTCATGAAACTTGGCCTGCAATTGAAATAATAATATTCAGAAAGCTAAAAAGTAATTCAAACATAATGCCTTTTGTTCTTCAAATCCTGGCTATTTGTTGTATTTCCAGAATGCAGTTGGTGTTATTTTAAATTTTATTTAAAGAAAGACAAAACAAAACAGAAAACAGGTAGAAATAGTACATACTTTCAAAGAAAAAAATAAACAGTAATAAATCACTAGTTGATGTTTACATATTGTCCTCTTACAAATAGTTGTTCAAGATACAAAAGTGGAACATATAAATGGGAATTCAAACAGAGAAACTGCAAATAGTTCTGTTCCACTATCTAATAACAACTTAGTAATATGATTATCAATCCTATACAATTAAACATACATGATTTATCCATATCTTCATTTATGTTGAGATTAAACAAACCAAAGCAGACTAAAATCACTCTGAACAAAGAATAATAATATTGCTGGATTTCACATCATGACACTCTGGAATCATTGGGTACTGTAGTGCCTTTTTTTTTCCTTCAAAGTATTTTGTTCATTTCATCATGTGTCATAAGATCAGTTCTTGTAAACTGTTTATAGGTTTTACGCAAGCATGAGTGTCATGGTTTATGTCTGTGGCCTCAGGCCTCATGAGTTTGCACTGTGCATTTGTGATTGGCTCATTGTCTAGTGCTTGGATTGATAGTGTCAGTGCTATACCCACAAAGGGGTGGAGCCAGGATGTAATGTAATGGCAGGAAGAAGGTGTGTCTTGTTCTCTTGCTGGTTTCAGCCTTGCTGTTTGCAGCTGCCATGAACTTTGGCTCTGCCATGCCACCCTGCTTTGGAGCCAACTGAGTATGGACTGAAACCTCCAGAATCTGTAAGAAATAAAACTTTCCTTTCCCACTTTGTGCATCAGGTATTTTGTCTCAGTGACTAGTAAAAAGTAACTAAGACAATGAGTCTTAACATGTATTTCTATCCTTTCTATATTAGAGGGAAAAACAGAAAAAAGCAGGACAGAACAAACATATTGCTATAGACACATAAAACTAAAAAGACTTATAAAACTGCTGTACAAGGAGTTCTGCCATGGTTACTGTGTTGTCTTTTGTTATCATCCAGAGAATTGGCTATATCATCAGATAAAGTATAATTGAATATATCAGTACATAACAGTATTAATAGAAACACAACTTTGTAGGTAGTGTAGAACTACAAAAACAGGTAATAATCAAACCAGAATGGGTATCGTAGTGAATCATTGTCATTTTTCAGTATAGGTGTCTATACTCTCTGACTTGATACTATCAACCTTAACAGTTTTGAATAAAATCTGTCAATAACAAACAGCAATCAAACAAAGCAGATTTAATTAAGATCAGTCATGATATAACAATATAAGTTATACAGGGCTCCAGTTTAAGTTAATAGGAAATTAAAGATGATTACTGTGCTATATCCTGATATTTTTGGGATAGCTGTCTGTGCCCTCAGATCTAGTGCTTGTCTACAAACTGGGATGGAATAAGTTCTATCTAAGCAGAGTGGTGTGAGTAATTTGGATTTTAAATCCTGATACACTATTAGCAATATCTTCTGCTGTCTTTTTAAAGACTTTTCCTCCCCTTTCACTCCCCCAGGGTGTACTGTGCATTTTTGGGTCTCCCCAACACCTTCAGTTTTATATTGGGGGGCAACCTGCTATTTATCTAAGTGTTTCTGCACTTTCTCACTCCGGAACTATGAAGTGATAATTCACCTACAAGATCATTGCAGCAAACGCAGTTGTTTTTTTAAAGTAAGGGCAGAATATTGAGGTTTAAAATCCAGGGTCTTGTGCATGGGCAAGTTCTCTAACAGAAGCTACACCCTCAATCTGGAGAGAGAGTCTTGATAGGAAGGTCAAATAATGCTTGATTTTAAAAAATGGAAGAAGAATCATTGGGAACCAAGAATCTAAGAACTATATTTGTCCTTAGGTTATGTATGCAGATTATGTCCCTTCATCTCATTTTTGGAGTTTCATTTGTTTTCTATTTTTTCTTGCAATCTCTAATATCTGTGGAGGGGACCAAGCAGAATTATAAAGCATGTGAAGTGTGGCTAGGGAACTGTATTTGTGTAGACTGTTTAACTGATGTGATGATATTGCAACTTGAAGTATGAATGCATCCTGCAAAATCTGCAGCTGGGTATTTGGTTATCTGTGGTTGACAACTTGGTGTGAACTTGCTGCGAGGTTGTTTCTTGGGGGGGTGTGAACTTTTGGAAAGGAAGAGAAAGTCAAAAAGATCCTTCAGCACATACATTGTTTTCTCTAAACTATCTTAGGGAGAATTCTTATCTTCAATTCACAGCTGATTGAAGCTAAGTCATAAGAACTAGGCTGTCTAAGGTGACACCATTTACCACCTAGGTTGGAATGGAGGTTTCTGTGACTTGATGTCATCTGCAGGCCAGCTATTTTTTGATACATCTTGCTGTGACCTGAAGATCTCTGTTGTCTTTAAGTAGGAGTCTATGTTTTCCCAACTCTCAGAAAATGCATTGTGCCCATTCTCAACATATCTTACTTGATATTTTGTATGCGACCTCCATGGGCTTTGATTTAAACTATATTGTGTTCCTTACTCTTTGTCTTTTGCCAATCCACAACCATTTCTGCTAACTGCTCATTGAGTTTCTGAATCTGCCTAAGTGATTTTCCATAACTTTCCAAAATTTAGCTTTTCTAATATTGTTTTAAAATACCATAGAATTTCCTCTTGTTGATGCAAAAGAATTATATCTTATAAAATGTGACTATCTGACTTTCCTTCCTTCCTGCCACTTGCCAGACATTGTGTTTGTTGGATTCTGGAAAAAAATCACCCAATGAAAGATAATAATTTTCCTCGAGGAGCTTACACAGAATCCATTAAAGTACAAGCTTCCTGTTGCGTTACTATATCGTTTCACTTGCATTGAGACACAGAGAATTGCTCTGATTTCCTTTCCTATCACCACAGTGTTGCTCATAAATTTAAACCACACACTGAGTGGTAACAGATCATTACTGTATTTTGCTCATCTTTTTAAAAGGGCAAGTTAGGGGAAATCTTTGAAGATATCAAGTCTATTTGGCACGAAGAATTTTTGGTCTTCTCCCCCCCATACAACTTGCATTTCAACACCAGTAATCTGGTCTGAAATCTCATATGTACCAAGTCAGAATCCTACCATTTGGGATCACTTACATTATGGGAATTTATATACAACTACTCCTTTTCTACATAAAAACTTTTGTTCTAACTACTATGTAATTTCTATAGCTATTATATTTTGTTAAGGCCACCCAAAATACAGCCTGGGTAAAGCAGATGATTAAAGGCAATAAACATGGGTAGTAGGTACAGGGAGACCAGCACACCCTGAAATATTTTGAGATCAAGCTGCTAAGCAAAGCACCCCCTGTCTTTTCTAAAATGAGAATGGCCTTTTATCTACTGGTACTCGGAGTCTGTTCAAACAGGAAGCTTTGAACTCTTACATTGGGCACATTTCCCAGGAGTTCCACATATCTTCCTCTGGACATTGGCCAACAAGTGATGGTCCAAGGATGAGGCTGGGCTTTGTTTGAAGTGCTCTGTGTGTCTTGGCTTCCCTTGCTGGACTTATCCACCATGCTTTGAGTTCTCTTTTCAGCCTGTCTGAGATCTTTCTTCTGGAAATGGTTTTGGCCCTTGAACCAGAGTTTGGGTTCCAATTCTACCACTTCACCTTCCTTAATTGTTACTAGAAATTCCAGAAAGAGTAACAGCTGAGTTTCCACATGAAATGAAGTGCCTGTGACAAGTTGTCATGCCCTACGGTTAAATATTTCCTTTCAAAACAGAGAATATCCTTAAAGCCATGATCATCAAACTTTACACTTCAAAACTAATGAGGAGTTTCAGCCAAAAACAATGGAGAATTAGAGATCCACTCAAATGTTATAATACCAACTTTACCAAAAATAATATTTGAAAAAATATATATATATGAAATGCAAAACTGAATAACAACATGGGGCATATTGCTGGTAAAAGTTTAAGATGCCCATAACTTTCCTTTTATAGCATTTTTGATAGCATTACTCACAGTTGAAGATTTGACCAACTCTGAATAGTGAGACACTCACTTGTTGCTGATCCCAAAGTAGACCCAGGTCTTGGAGAATTTTTTTTTAAGTTAAAAACAGTAAGTAATTTACCAATTCTGTCTGTGGGTTGATAAGATTGTATTTTAAAATGCAAATAGCCTGTGGGGGGAATAAACATGGTAAAGTTTTTGATAAAGATTCTGTGTAATTTTTTGTTTTGTTTTGTTTTTTAGGGATTGAGCTCATGACCTTGCACTTGCCAGGCAGAAACTTAAAACATGGTAAATTTTTACCAATGGTGTCTACAGATTTAATATGATTGGCAGATTCAGTTGCTATGAAGAAAAGGAAGTTATTATGGGAGTGTGGAGACTGGAAAAGGCAAGATGGACGTGCAGTTTGAATATGGAGTGGGAAAATGCATGAGACTTAGACTATTCCAATGATGTATCCACATGCTGATTCTGTGCAAAGAGCTTCGGGAATGGAGAAGTCATTAGGAGGCTGAAGAGGGATGTGGAGCCATTCCATAACAAAACCTCTTTGCCTTGGAATTTTCCTAGGCCTTGGGGATCTGGTATCTCCATGAGTGCTTTCTATAGGTCTAGAAATTACTCTTCAAGTTTCAATAATTCACATAGCACTTCTTAAAGTCCAGTGAGAAGTTGTCATTCAAGCAATAAATACTGAGAGAGTAGCCATGTGGCCCTTAGGAGGACAAGGTTTCCAGACAATGAATATGGTACAGTGCAGGGAGCAAGTGTGGCATTGTCCAGAAAGACAAAGGTTTTAGAAGGAAGGTCAGATGTTGGAGAGTCCTGGATATAATGAGCCATTTTTAAAGAAAAAAAAAAGAAAGAAAACATGGTACAAAATCAAAATAAGATGGCAGGAGAGTCTCAGTGGTTAGTTCATGGTGGATTGTTGTCATTATCTAGTGAGACAGAAAGCACTGGAGGGATTCGAGCAGGGAGTGTTAGGATATGACATAGATTTTTAAAGATTCAGCTGCTGTGTTGAAATATCCTTTTTCCAAGAGCCACTTTGTATGAAGAATTGCTTGACTCTTAAATCTAAAATCACCTTACTGTAGCCATGAGCAGTGCCATCCTTTAGCAACTCCAAATCATGTCATGTATTATATTTTTTATCTATACTTGTATCACTTGACTAAACTATTGGAAAAATGAGAAAAGATCTTTTTTGAGGAGCTCAGATACTACTAGCAACAGATCATAAACAGTCTAAAAAGGGGATATAGCCTTTTTGTTTTATTTTAGTGAGTAGAACTGGGAATTTTAAAATTATGATAGGAAAAGGCCATGGTATAGGAACCTGCGGATGATTTCAAACAGAAAATGAAAACCCGTAGACTGTGCTACCTGAGAAGAATGGGGACATGGCTCCAGATCCTTGGGAATGAGGGTCAGGTTTTCTTTTTATATAAACTTTAATAAAGATGCATGAAGATGATAGATGGATGTCAAAATAGTATGTGAAAGAATCGCTATATAGAGACTTCAGTTTTCCCTCTATACAAAAAGGTGAGGTTATCTGCCAAGAGTCAGCAGGATGCTAATGGGATAGGAGGGCTGAGCAAAATAGTGAAGTCTTACAGTAGCCACTGTAGAGAGAAAGAACATGGTATTCCAAGAATTGGTGTCAACTTGTTTTTTCTTGTGAGTGTGGTTTTCTCCCTCAGAGGATAGGAATATATGGAGAACACAAAGTACTTGACTGGTTCAAGGTTTGAAAAATATTGCATAACTGTGATATGAAAGACATGGAAGCCAGGGTTAGAGGATATGAGTGCAGAGTGGTGGACATGAAGAACCATTTATTGTTGGCTGAGGAGGGAGTTCAGAGGCAGCAGGGATATAAGCTGGAGAAGGTGGTTAAGAGATCAGATACCTCAAATAAACAATAGCTATCTGAGAGAGGAAATGAGGACAGTGGAGTCTGAGGGGTAACATGGGTGTAAGGCATTATGAGAGAGACAGCTGGACTGATATGATAACTGAGGGATTATGACAAGAGTCAAAAGGAATAGAATTCATATGACCCAAGAACTGAGAGCTTAGACTGGAGATTATAAAATTATTCATGTGGGTAGTTAAGGCAGGTGGGACTCCAAAACGATTTGGGGTACAGAGAATCATTTCTCAATGTCCCTTGTGGCTCTCACATCCTACTGTCTGGATTCATAAAAGAAATCATAATTCAACAATGTTTAATTGACTCCTGGTGACAGTCATTTATAATACTGGATAACAACTGGTTAAGAATTTTTTTGTTTTATGAAAGCACCTCAGTATTTATGTCCATCTATACATTGCTATGGGTCATTTCACAGTGAAAATGGGATAATTTGATTCAGAAGTGGATCTGACCAGATGGTTATCATTTTGTGGTTTTACTCCTCTAACATTATTTCCCTACTTGTCAAGATGGAATGGTAACATTGACCAATAATAGTGATTGCTGAGATTGTCATATAAATGAAATTCATTTCTAAGATGCTTAGCCTGGTATCCCTTCTCTCCTTCCTACCTGGGCCTATCCTTCCTCTGCTCCAGGTAGGAACTACCACATTAAGAAAATAAAATATACCCAATTATTCTTTAATATAAAATGGCCTTTAAAAACCCGATGTGTTCAGCAGCTTGGCTTTGAAAAGATGATTAGATCACAGAGGCACAGTACTCTTTAGATTTACCCACTGACACATTCATAGCTTAATATGTTTTTAGGAGGTGGGGCCTCGTTGGAGGAAGTGGGTCATTTGCCACAAACCCTTGGAGGATATATCTCTAGCTCTGGGTGTTGCTCCATTACCTGGATGTCAGGGGTTGAAAAGCTTTCCCCTGCCAGGCCCTTCCACCATGATGTTTCTGCTTTGGAACCAGCCAACCATTGACTAAAATTTCTGAAACTGTGAGTCAAATTAAACCTATCCTTTAAATTGCAAGTGTCAGATATTTTGTCCCAGCAACAGAAAAGTTCACCAATACAACCTCTATCCCTTGCCTTAATCAATCTAGTGTGGAGACCTGAACTGAGTGAAGAACGCATACCATATGCTAAGCACTTGGCAGTGAGGCCAAAATGAGTATAGTTCATCTTATTCCCATGGCTGAAAAATTCTGAAGTGTCAAATATAAAAGAAATAAATGGAGCTCATCTATAGACAGGAGCCAGAAACACACCTCCGCCAGTTTCCCCCCTAAACTTCAGGGCTAGATTAGTTAAAAGAATCATCATAAAACTCAGAGTGTAAAAGTCAAGAGCAGAGGACCTGGCAGAGTTTATGATTTCATAATTGCTTTCGTTTTTTAGGCATTGTTATATCAGATAGACACGGGGAGTCAAAAATAATCTATGTGATTTATTGGACAGTAATCTGGAGTGTGTATGTGCTTGGGGGATGGTAGAAGCAGAGAGAGACTAAAAGGAAAAACAAGAATAGGCAGAGAACTTGGAGAGCCAAGGAAACAAGAAATAAAACAAGTGAGGGGGGTATTCCAGCTTACTGCAGGAGACACTTCTCCCAAAGAACCCAAACATGCTTCCTAATGCTACCCTTCACTTTCAGTTTAATCTGAAGTCCTCCTGGAAAGATGCAATGGAAACATCAGACAGCTTAAAGCCAGAAGGAAATGAGAGAAGAAATGTGGTGATCTACAGCTGACACACAGCCACAAGGAGTCAGAACGGAGGAGGGTGGCTGTTCTACTGCAGAGTGTACCTTATAATTCAAAAAACTTAGTCACCAGACTCTGAGAACAGATAAGAGTGGGAGGAAATATTTAGGAGCAGCAGTAGGGAAGCATTTAATAAAACTCTGCAACTCTAAAACATCAAGAGCAGAGCTCTTGACAAGCTCCCAGCCTTATGGAACCTTCAGAAAACCAAAGGACCAACTAATGGAATAAAGTACATCCATCCATGCTATACTGTGTGGTGTAAACATAATTCACACTCAACTGACGGAGACATTTAACAGTGGAGACTATTTGAAAAAATCACCTTCCAGGCATAGTGATGTCCAGTCCTCATAGAACTCTGTAAAATGTGGATCAGTTCTAAAAATGACCATTTCCTGTCAAAACAGAAAAACAAATGTGGATGTTGAAATTGCCTGTCCATTCTAGGTTACAAGCACATGGATGGGTCAATGAATATATGAACCTCATACTTTGTCATCAAAATAGATACAACTTTTTGAAAAAGATTATAGATATTCAGAAAGCCTAGAAAATAAATCACTAAATTTCTTGAGGTCAGTTTTAGGTTTGGGAAGTTTGTCATTTTGTCAATGCTCTGCAAAGGTGGAGCTCAAGTGGAACACTATAGTTGAGGCAAAAGTTGACCAACCAAGCTAAAGGATTGGGTTGGAAGGGAAGAAAAGAGATGGTAAATCTGAGAGGAAGAAGGAAAGAAAGCCTTCACAGGTGGATTCATGGGTTCATGATGGGCAGATAACTGGAAGAAAAGAATGGTGGTTCTAAGTGTAGGCCACTACAGACATACATATTTATGTTTCAAGAGTCTTAATCAGAACTATTGTAATCTAGAAACAAGTTTCTGTGTACAGTTGATTAAACAAAAGTCCCAGAAAGAAAAGTACTCCTATATCAAGTAGACTGAGCAGTTAGAAGCTTTGGGCCCAGAATGAAGGTCAATATTCTCCAGTTCTTTGTTTCGTAGCCTGAAAAATGGTGGGTAGGGTGTGAAGTCAGTGGGATGCTCACAAAGAATCACAGAACAGAGTGACAGAAAGGTCAACAAAACAAGACAAAACAAAACAACAGTGGCATCCAGGAGACATTCATGTGGTAATCCTTTCTTAAATTGTACCAACTAAAATGAACTTAGATTAAAAAAAGAAAGAAAGAAAGAAAGAAAAGAAAAAAGATTAAGTCACAGATAAGATTTTCAAAGAAAATTTTAAATAATTCCTGTGTTTTCTGCAGCTCAAAGTGAGAAGCTTGACTTTCTAAGTAAATGGCCATTTGCAGCTCTTTTTGTGTATCAGGGCCACCTGCACCCCGTCCCAACTGCATGTTACCAACTTGTCCCCCACACACAGTGGCCCACCCAAAGGCACAGAAAAAAAAATTTCATACAAAAGAACCTTTCTTCTGGCTTAAAGCAGCATTTGAGTCAGATTGCAACTGAAGATCAACACATTTGTATTATTGTCACACTGAGGATTGATTTTTTTTTTTTACTGGTACAAAGTATTCTAAAAAAGAATGGAAAATTACCCCTGTTTGCTTCAAAGAACCATGCTGATTTCCTTGAAATATGTTGCACTTCAGCGTTGCTCAGGGCAACTGATTTAATTCACAGAGATCCTGCCTGTGACTGATAGTTTAAGAAAGGTGAAGTTTATTTGCAGAAGATTTCAGATTGGATATAATAAGTATGTAGAAAGACATCAAGCAGTTAGGAAAACAAGAACAGATTTTAGATCTGTTTAGCTAATTGCAAAAAGACTATTTCATAAATCTGAGTCCTTATGAGAATTTGCTTGAAAGCTATTGGAAAACTTTTAAGAAAAAGATTGACCGGAGGCATAGAAATCACTAAACAAATCCAGCTAATGCGTTTTCACACAGGGAACAGATGTCATTGCATAAAATTCAATCTAAAACATTTTGTCAAAAAGGGCTTCGGCTAGGATAGCAGTTAGACAAGAATTTGGCAGATAGTAGTGCAATCGAGGGTCTGAACTTTGTATATTCCATTTAATTCCTTCAAACACCATATGAATCAATTAATCAGTCAATTAATTAAACAATCTATCTGTCTAAAAAACTATATATATGTTATAGTGATAGATTACTGGATATGGGTATAATTACTATCATTTTGGTGCTTTACTTTCCTTTTGAAGTAAATAAGCAAGCAGTATAACTTTCAAAGACATACATTTTCAACCAAAGTAACATCTCCAAATGAACTGTTTATTGAACACAGCATCTGGCAAATACTAATTTGCTATGGAAGTCTGTTGTTTGACAGTAATCACTCCTGAGTCACAGGGTGACTCTGATTTCAGATTGCACACACGGTTGGTCAGAAGCCATGGAAAATAACTGAAGCATTCATGTTTTCAGTTTCATGTTGCAGTTTGGGGGCAGAGTCGAAAATTCATCCTATTGTGCCTTTTTTCTATCAGGGATATACTTATATCACAGTCCCTTCACATTGGATTTATTTAACTTGCTTCCATATCTGACTCCTAGTAGATTAAATGCTTTTGAAAGCAGAGAATATCTCTATTTTGAGTTCCTGCCCAAATGCCTAGGACTTTACTAGCCCTCAATAAATGTATATTGAATGAATGAATGCATTAATGGATGTCTTCTTCAATATTGACTAATCTTCACACATCAAAAGCTAATACAATTATAGAAAGCTATTGAAGGAGATCAAATTATGCCAAGCCCCAGACAAAGCACTATGCCATAAATGTTACATAAAACTGAAGGCAATTGAGAATTATACAGAAAGAGGTCTTCCCCTCTCCCAATCTCCTGTAAAGTACAGCATCAGTGTCCCTTTGTGAAAGCATTGCCCCTGCCCCAAACTCAGTGCGATATCAGAAATTAAAGAATAATTCTTATCACTGAAGACAGGAAGTCAACACCAAGATATATTTGTAGAAACATATTATTAAAACAACTTACAGCTTCCATTAATTTTCCTATACATGTATTTCTTAGTCACTGCCTCGTGATTTGTTTTCCTTGAAGCTTTAGACAACTTTCTATAAGCTCTGGAGTAAAATTGCCTCTTTGGGTCATTTTACTTCTTTTCGTTGAAAATCCATATGTGTAAATATTCATAAAGAATTGTGCGCTTTTTCTCCTGTTAGTCTGTCTTTTGTTTTTATAATTTGCAGACTTCTAACAAAGGAACCTAAGAGGTTAGAAGAGGAGTTTTTCCTCCTGGACTCCATTATATTTACTATTTCTTTTTCTATTCATCAAAGAAATTTTTGTCCTGGTAGTATTCATTTTATTTCATAGCCCTTATTTCCTCTTTTAAGATTTCAACGTCTGGTGCAAAAGTAACGAGCCTCTACCTTAACCTTGTGGGACCCTTGAAAGACTTCCGCTTCTCAAGAATATTTCAACCCATAAAATGAACTCAGAGAGTTTTTGCTTTATAGCCTCTGCCTTATTACTTTATTTTCCGTGTTCTAGGATTTGGAAAACACAATTTTACCTTTATATTAACTTTGTTAGTTCAGCAATTTTCACTATTGTGAGGACTTTGGTTTTAGATTTGGTAAAGCCATTGTCTTCTTTCTAAAATGACTTCAAACTCCCATTTTTGTCTGGGTGTATGGACAATAATATCCCTAAAAGGACCTCTTAGGAAGGAAGACGCTTTCTTTCTGCATTCATGCTTTGCTCTGCTAATGTGAGTTTTTAGAGAGTGAAAAGCAGGAGTCTTATTTCTCTAAATCATGTATCTGGCAAAGATCACCAGGACCATACCATTAAACCAGTGGCCACAACTAATGAGGGATAAATTAATGGCTTTCCAGGAACAAGGATCTATTTCCCAAACAAACACAAACACAAAAATGACAAAAACAAAAAAGAAAATAGAATATAACAGAACCTTAAGAAAACAGAAAGTAAGCCAAGTTAAACTGCTATTTTTTGTTATTCACTCTGGGATCCAAGAAGAGACAAAACGGCTCCCGCAGCCCATGAGGTTCACGTTTCAAGCTGTTCATTTACAAGCTATCACGTGAGTCTACTTGAACATTTTACTGTCATCGTTAAAATTCCTAAGGTATGTTTTTCAAAATGTTGAAGAATACATATGTAAAAAATGAACGCATATTTTATCCAACCCAATGATCAACTCAGTGATCCAACACAGATTTTATCCATTTCAGTGATCAGTGTGGGAGCCAATAACAAAGCTAAGAATTTTCCACAAGAAATGCTGAAGAACAGAGATGTACACAGTCAATGAAGAATACAGAAATAAATTTGCTAACAAATATAGAATATGTTAGCATCCTAAAAACAGTAACATATAATATTTAACATTTTCTTATACCAGGATAGTTTTTTGTAGTGTAAAAAAGTCTGTCTGCATCATTGTGGGCCAGAATTATTTGTATATCAGTTTTCTGCAAGTTTACTTCTCCTAGGATTAGAACATTGCCATTTTAGGAGATAGTAATTTGGTTACTATAAATATATTATTTTATTTAATCTTCACTACACTCTTATTTACACCTTTTCAGAGCCTCACAATACTTATACTATCATTCTTCTGTATTATAGGTAGTGGACATAATGCTTAGGAAAGCTAAATATAATGATCCACAAATCTGACAGGCTGTAGAGTGGCAGAATTGGGATTTGAGTCAATGTCTGTCTGTCTCCCATACTTAATCTTATAACCACTAAATGGCACTAATGGTACTCTAGATGTCATTTTCCCCTGCCTACTCTTTTCTTCCTGAGTATAGTAGTCTTCTTCTCCACAATGGATGTTTCTAGACCCCCAGCAGATGTCTGAATTCTCTGATAGTATAGAATTCCACATAGGCTATATTTTTTCCTATGCATACCTATGATAAAGTTCAGTTTATAATTTAGACACATTAAGAGGTTAATAATAACAACTGATATAAAATACAACAATTATAACATTACACTGTAGTACAAGTTTTGTGAATGTAGTTTCTCTCAACTTATCATAGTGTATTACATTCACTCATGCGAGATCATACTTAAGAGAAACACTATGCTGTGTCTCTTTGGCTTAGTGAGTAGCCAACATCACTGCTGTATGTTTTGAAGCAACTGGTAAATAAAATAAGCATGATTTGAATACAAGCATTGTGATTCCATAACAATTGACCTAATAACTAACATGGCTATTAGGTGATTCACAGATAGGTATCATATGCAGTATTGTACACTGACAAAGAATGGTTCACGTCCAGGGGGAATGAAACAGGATGATATGAGATTTCCTCAAGCTACACGGAAGGACATGTGTTATGGCTCATGTCTAGATGTCACTCCAAAGTTTCATGTGCTCATAGGTGGAGCTTTTTCAGAGGTGGCTGGATTGGTAAATGTACAATATTAGGCTTCAGGGCACTAGGATTAAGAGTGTGAGTGCTACCTACCCTAAGTAGCCTGGGTAAGATACAAGGGATAGAAAAAGCTATGGTATTTCCTTGTTGCTTTTACTATTTTCTGCCTACCGTGAACTGTTTCTCTGTGAAGTCACCCTGCCTTGGAGCCAGATGACTATGGACTGAATCCTCTAATAAGTACGAGCTAAATAAACCTTTCACCCTTTTTACTTTGGGTGTCTGGTATTTTATTTCAGCAATGAGAAAAACGTAACCAACACAACATGCAATTTAATATTTATGAATTCTAAAATTAGAAATTCCACATGACCCAGCTTTCCTCTCTCTAGTCATGATAGGACAGCATACCACAGCAATACATCAATCCCAGTGTTTATGGCACAGTTCATAACAGCTAAATCTTGGAAGCAGCCTGTGTACTCATCAACAGATGATTTGATAAAGAAAATGAGATCTATATATAATGGAATACTATCCAACCATAAAGAAGAATATATTTGTAGGAAAATGGATGCACCTGGAAAATATACTGTTGAGAAAATAAATCAGACACACAATCTTGAATACCATGTAGTATCTCTCATGTGACTAAGACAAAGTATGAACTAAGAGAAAAATAAAGGAAAGGACAGAAGGAGACCAGGGCATGAAGCTCTTGCAGATGAGACAGTCCAGGGGACCACGAGCAAGCGTCGAGGGTCAGGCGGTGGAGAAATGGGTAGAGTGAAGATGTGCCAGGTACAAGATCCTAGTAGCCTCCATGAATGTGCACATTACCTGCGATGAACACGGACTAAGATTAACAATAACAACAGGAATGGAAGGGAGGGGGAAGAGAGTTAGAGCAGTTGGGAGGGTAGGGAGGGAAGGGGATTGAAAAAAAAATAAACAGGCTGACTGTAAAATGCTTGTATCTCAAACATGTACTATTAAAAAACTTACAAATTGTATACTTCTGCAATTTTCCATTTAAAATTTTGAGACCTTGATGGACTGCAGATAAAACTTCAGATAGGATGGGGGTGGGGGGAATCCACCAAATTACTCTTTTTATGCTTTCTCCCGAAAGCACTAACAGCAGTGATATTTCATGATAGCAGCACAAATAAGTGAATATAAGATCACAGTCAAGAAATAAAGATGATCCTTTAGGTAGACAAAATTCTATATTTTCCAGCAGAGCCACCAGAGGCCACCAGCTCTACCAACACTCGGACATTTAGCCTAGTGAGAGTTTCTGGGGAAATTCTGACCTCCAGAACTGTAAGAGAATAAATTTGTATTAATTTTAGTTAGGAAGTTTGCAGTAACCCAATATACCCAATAATCACTCTCAAGATATTATACCAAGATTTCCCACTCATAAGACCCAATGATCCTTTATCACCTTCCTTCTTAGCCTCTCCTAGAAGGCTGCCAGATACAGTAGAGGGACGGAATGTGAGTTTTGGAGAAGAAGAAGCTAGATCTGATTTTAATTAGCATTTTAATGGTCATAATTCTTTCTTGACATTTCTTAGAATTTTTGTATGTGTTTTCACACCCTGAGAAACTGGGAGCAGAGGACAAGGATTGCAGTTTCTCTGGAAAGAACTGTAGCTTCTCAGCATCATAGGGTGGTCACAGTCTAATCAGTCTTGTAGCTGTAGCCATGTTGTAAACACGTGTTTAGCACCTTGTCTGCTACTAACAGTGAGCCATTCTGGAACATGAAATAGGCACTAATAAGCTTACATGTAGTGTATAAGTTTATACACATTATACAATTATTTAAATCCTATGAAGGCTTTTAAAACCATAATAAACTGTGCAAGCAAATAAATCCTTAATTTGGAAATTTCTACATGAGATTCTTTATAGTTCTGTTAACCATGCTAGGAGAGCCAAATGTCACATTACTTAAATACTCTCCAATATCATCTGCTGGCATTTTAAAATACTTGAACATTCATTTAACTCTATAAATAACATTAAGTTTTGTATTTCTTATTTATTAAATACTCTTTTTCAGATATACAATCCTAATGTGTAAAGTGTGTAAAGACTGTTGGCAGTATCTTTGGAATTACTAATGATTTAAGGATTCCTGAGAAATCTTATGAATTATATTTTATTCCTGAAACCCACACTCATTCTTTTCCTGTAAATGGAATTAATATCTATCAGGAATTTGGAAACACTAGTTCAAATTCCTACCCTATCTGT